TTCCCGCGAACGTTCCAGCTCTTCGAGGTCTTATTGCCGTCCGACGTAGTACACAGGAATAAACCGTGGTCTATTCTGAGCGTTGTGCATTCGGAAATTTCGGAAAGAATGAAAGTCGAAGAATCGTTCCGATATTGTTTGTATTTCGTTCATTTGTTCGGTGCATATGGAATGTCGTCTCGACAAATTAAATTACAACCACATGTGGTTTTTTGAACGCTATTTTTTAAAACCTTATTGTCGATGATAATGGTCTAATAAAAAGTATTTTGCATATTCACATTCACGATGAATGCGTAAAATCCACAGTCATTCATCACGGCTGACAATGAGGTTTTAATATTTCTCTTATCTATCTTCTTACTAGTAGACCGTATTTGTTCTCCTTTAATATAGTTCGAAACAATAGAAAATTGTACAAAATTTACTGAGTGTTCCAGATACTTCATATTCGGCAACCTAATAATTCAAACACAGTTTCGTAAAAACTGAAAACTACTGTCGAGAACGAAACGTCCACGGGATTCAGCGCTCCCAAGCACAAAGAAACTCCCACGGTTAAATTCAACGCTTATTTAATATTCGGGCAGCTCGCCGTGTCGATTTCTCGAAATTCAGTGGGTCTTAAATGAAATACCCCCGGGGGATCCAGCGTTAAGCGAGTCTCCGCTTGATCCTCTGCCAAAAGGATTCCGAAGGGGTGGTGTTCCGCCTATCCGAAATCAACTTCCAGCTCGTATTTTCTCGCCGCCGATTCTTCCGGTTCGCTCCGTCCTCGGGTGCAGAGCTTTCCGTCGACGCGTGAAACATCGACGAATATATCCAAGGAATCTCGGCGACCCAGAGGACTCCCGTGGAACCTTGTAAATTCGGCAGGAAGAATCCACCAGTGGCTGGCGAGAAATTTTCCTGGCTACTTCATCTCGTTTCACAGCTGACTACGGTGGTCATTTTCGTGGCATTATCGGAGGTGTCCGTGTCACGGATTTCTCGGGCTGTCGTGAATTCGGGTTACGGAAAACATCGGCCGTTCGAGAAGTCTGGAAGCTGGACGGAAAACCGATAAGGGTGCCACGCGTCATCTTTCGAACCGCACCACGACTGTCAGTTTCCGTTCCGACGCGTTTTGTTCCCAGATAGAAGCTCCCCTGGCCTGATTCTAAACAGGATCTTTAAATTTTTTTAGAGACATCTCTCGTCCCTAAATCGCTACGATGAGAATTTTCCGAAAGAATATTCTAAAGCCACATCGAATATTCAAGTCCAACCACCGGAAATTATTCCGCGGAAAATGTCCCTACACATATCGCAGACTTTATGAGCGTGTTTTGTGCCCCCGCGAAATTCCGTGACGACGTAAATTCGGCGAGTTTTCTCAAAATTCCTGTCGCCGTCGTTTATCTCACCGGGTCGGTGGAACGTACCGCCTTGCACAAAATTCCTTCCATCCTTCGAGAGGGCCGAATGTGATGTAGGTCACGCGTTCTTTTTTTCGAAACGGAAGCTGATGGCTTCCGCGTGACCTGTGACGGCCACGGGAATCTTTCGTTCGGCAATTATGATTAAAACGGGCTTCTAGAGGGAACTTTAGCCACTAGGAAACTTTTAAGTTTGAGATACCGTTGGTTAATCCTGTTTAAGAGTTCCCGACGAAGTCCTTATTACGTGATCACCTTGAAGCTTTTGTGTAACGTGTCGATTATTCTGAGAGATAACGACTCGAAGGGGGATGAATGGGGTATAATTAGGATAAAATGGGAGTGTATGAAAAGAAATGGATATAGTAGCTTAAGGGAAACAAGTTGTTATTAAAAATAGGTGACTGGGATCACCAAACAGAAGATACAAGAAAATACAACAAAGTATAGCACTAAGTATAAGCATATAAAGGTTTTTAGGTTAACAGAGTATAAGGGAAAGCAAAAATAGTCAAAAGCTAATAGCTAGGAAAAGATGTGTGAATTTAGAAAGACAGAATAGACACTTGTTAGAAGACAGTGAACACAGATGCGAAATATGAGCCGAGGATTTACTGTAACAGGAATTGTAAACCAAGTCCATTCCTCGGTCTCGAGGCTGGAATTATCAATAAATGCATCCCTGTTCCGTCTGCAAAAGACCAAACAGATTCTCAAACTATACTCTCGAAGTAATCCTAACTGTAACCAGATACGGTGGATCCATACTCGATGCATTGTTTCCAACGTAACACTTCGACGGAGCGTAAGCGAACGGAGCAGATAAATGGATTAAAATGATGTCCATCAACTTTGACAGATTCTTGCACTGATCCCTCTGTCGTAGTTACTTTATTATTTAAATCTACTTTCATACGTTTATGGATTTTTCGTACTCAAATGAAGGTCACACTGTATTAGGTCATTGGTTTCAATTATTACGCCTTGCTGATAGAAATAACCAATTCCATGTCCAACCATCCTAAACCAAGTCCATTCCTCGGTCTCGAGGCTGGAATTATCAATAAATGCATCCCTGTTCCGTCTGCAAAAGACCAAACAGATTCTCAAACTATACTCTCGAAGTAATCCTAACTGTAACCAGATACGGTGGATCCATACTCGATGCATTGTTTCCAACGTAACACTTCGACGGAGCGTAAGCGAACGGAGCAGATAAATGGATACCGAGAAGCAACCTTAAATCTAACACGGATCCCCCATACATTTAACATGATCCGACGTTATACGTAACCGCGAACCCATCGCCACCCACCAGCACCACCATCCATAATACCATCGGCGACCTGTCGTCGGATCAACGGTGAAACCCGGCCGACAAATCCCCCGTTCTGGTATCCAGGAGCACGTGGAAACGGGGAAGCAGGATGCGGTGTACACGAGACAACACCCGGGGCCAAGCTTTATGCATTATGTTTTATGAACACGCCCATAGTCATCGCGTCATCGCGAGTCCGCGGACTTAATGCACAGCCTCGTTTGTTCCCCTTCCCCCGAAGTAATAACGCCGAGAGACTCGTGTACAGGGAGCCCCTGTTGGCCTCTGTGTCTTTGCCAGCGAGAAGAAGAAAAAGAAGAAGACTACAGAGAAAGAAAGAAGAAGAAAGGGAGCTGGACAAGGCCTGCGCTGTACGGCCGTTCATTTACGTTAAGAGCAACGGAACTGTGTGTAATATCTTGAGGAGATAGGAGCAGAAAGATTCATCCTGTTCTCGACGGCCGGTTTTTGCCCACGTACAATCTCACCTCCGACGGGGTCCGTGGAAATTGGATCGACTACGACGTGCTCGAGCCACGAGATTAGATCGATTTTAGTGTTTGTCTATGGGGCCTGGTAATGTGATTATGCCGGATTGCTCGTTTAAACGAGGTGTCAATTAAGCGGTGACGCTTCTGGCGGCGACAGGAGTCCCCTTTGTGTGGATGATAAACGTTTTGTCGAAGGAATTGCCCTTGGATGATCGTTTTCTTGAGGAGTGGGCTGTGTATAGTGTTGCAGATTTAGGGAGCTAATTATTTTCTTGGCCTTTGCTTTCGTTGATCCGATTAAGGATTTTTGTCATGGGATAGGGACTTGGATAGGGTGGGTAAAAGTAGCTGAACTCGAGGGACTATGCAGATTAAACTGCAGACTTTAACTAGACGCAATAGCCAAATGTCTAGAAATTTTTGGGGGACAAGCCCTGGAAGATCAAGCCCTGGAAGATCAAGCCCTGAAAGATCAAGTCCTGAAACATCATGTCCTGGAAGAGCAAGTCCTGAAAGATCATGTCCCGAAAGATCATGTCCTGAAAGATCATGTCCTGAAAGATCATGTTCTGAAAGATCGTGCCCTGAAAAATCATGCCCTGAAAGAGCAAGTCCTGAAAGAGCAAGTCCTGAAAGATCATGTCCTGAAAGAGCAAGCCCTCAAAAGATCATGCCCTGAAAGAGCAAGTCCGCAAAAGATCATGTCCTGAAAGATCAAGTTCTGAAAGATCAAGTTCTGAAAGATCAAGTCCTGAAAGATTAAGTTCTGAAAGATCAAGTCCTGAAAGATTAAGTTCTGGAAGATCAAGTCTTCAAAGGTCAAGTTTTCGAAGGCCAAAAGTTTTTTAAGGTCCAAATGTCTTCTAACGCCAAAAGTCTTCCAAGACCAAAAATGTTACAAGGCCAATAGTCTTGTTGAAAAAAAAGATTTGTGCGTTTACGAGTGGTGCGTCTATGTTCACACTCGATCTATCACATTGACCCTGGATATTTTTTCTGAGAACAGAATATCGTCGTGGCAATTCTTTACGGATGTAACAACAATATTTACTTTCTATAGTTACAATCTTACGAGCTAGCAACTCATTTATAGAGAGTAACTGTCACCATGCTATTGTCTGCTTCACGCGTACTTTCGCCAACTTTGGGAAAGTACACCTCCGCGAAATTATTCGTTAACAGCGTTCGTTCCGCTCGTTCGCGGTTTAAATCGTCCTTGTCCGCAAGCTCGCGCGTAATTAATGCTTTTAAGAAGAGATAATCTTCGTCACGCTCGCGAAACGCGACATTACATTCCGAAACGCCGGGCGGTTCCGCGTTAATACAAACGTGTCGTGATAATTCATGCTTTCTACATACATACCTGTCCTCCACCCACCTCCCCGGTAACGCGTAGGTACAACGCCCCGCGTTTCAGAATTAATCTGCTTCATTTTCAGCTAGCAAAATATTTATTCGAGGCACATGCTCGGTTCTCCTTACATTATTAACGCTGCCGGATATTCCACCGTCCCCTCCATCCCTGTGAAAGTAATTCACCTAGCTGCATCTCCAACGGACGTTTCGCGCGCGTCTGCGAGGAAAAACGGAAATCCCCCGCTTTGAGCCGGCGATTTATTACCCATTTATCCTCCCGTGTTCATCCAATTAGGCGGAACCGAAGCAAAAAACCTCTGACAAATCGTGGTCGTAGGATTAAACAAGAAAGGATTGCGAAACAACGGTGTTGGATAGTCGATCGAACTATCGTTCTTGTTTTATTTTTTCTTTCAGGTGGCGAACGACAGTATGTTGTACAGGTCCAGATACTTCGCGATCCCACAGGACGACGATTCGAAGGTGTCGAAGTCCACCATAGAGTTCAAAGTGACCAGCGACATGTTCCAAACCGGCCGATTGCATCTGCGTTGCACAGCGTTCATCGCGGATGTATACCGAAAATCGGCCGACATCGAAATCAACGAGGACGCGCCGCGTATCGCGTCCATAACCGGTGAATCACCTCCACGAGGACATCGTGAGTAAATTCTATTTTTATTTCGTATCAACGAACTTTTAAAAAAAAAAATAACTTCTCTCTGAAACAAATTCTTTTCGAGAGACAGAGCGTAAAAAAAGACCGTTTTCTCAGTCGTGATACCTAATCAAACCATGTCCGACCCATCCAGCAGCTTTTTATTAAACTCGGTAAACACTCCGTAATAAAGGGTGAACCCTCAGGAGGCGCTGTTTACGTGGCCCCGTTAACAAGATGAATTCATGAAGAAGAATTCCAACCGAGAGGAACTAGAACTGAGATGAATTCCGACCAGGCCGCGCTATTTTTAATGATTCACCGTGTAACTCGTTTATCCGCGTTCAGTAATGGGCGTAGGATGTTTCGTATCATTTCAAACATCGTTTCCAACTGCAAGATCTACGATTTTCCTTACCGACCAGGCTGGAATATTCATTTATTATACAGGGTGAACAACGAATCGTGATCAGTAGAGATTACTCTGATATTAACAGTCCGATGGAAAATGTTTCTACTAGGTATAGTTTCAAGAGAGCTTTAACGTGATTATATCAAATTTTTTCTCTGATTTTTCAAGGTCACCTTCAATTTTCTTTAAAAAATTCAGTTGAAAAAAAAAGTAACACATGTTATGTTATGATACTTACCGAATTTGTCTTGAAATCCTCTAACAGATACATGTAAAAAAATTATAGGTGTATTTGCAAGAAGGTGACCTTGAAGGATGCTCGGTTCATTGGGAAATTCTCATGAATATCACTCGGGCAGCTAGTTAATCAAGGAATTACTTGTTCGAGCCCGTTTATCGGTCTCATGGACATGAATTGTACTATGTAGGTGGTAACTCGAATCGTCAATACAATAAAGGGGGAGATGATGATAACAAGGGTTGAAGTTTCGCGGTGGCATCGTGGTAGGTGAAAGTTGCGAAACTCGGCTAGCCAATTGTCCCACGTTTGTATTTCCCTTTAATATTTGAACGAAAACCAGCACGGAGAACAATACTCTTCGCGGTAAAATTCAACCGATCAGACCAAACGGGAGGGATAATACCGACGACGGTATCGATCGAATCGCGTTGTTAATTGCGTCATTCCGATCTAACGAAGCGAACGGACATCCAGGGATTTTTATCGTCGTTCTGACTCATTGGACCTGATTCCTTAATGCACGCTCTGAACGGTGAGGGGAAAACGGGGGTGAATTCAGGGGTTGCAAAATTTCTTCCACCGAAAATCGTAAATTGGAACTTCTCACGTCTGGGGCGGTTTTAGCTGAAACTTTTGGTACTTTAGTACATTTGTTTTATTGTTGGATTTGTTTTTTTTTTTATTTTTTATGTACCGTCCACTGTGATATTCAATCCTTCTGACGTATTATCGGGCAATGAATAAATTCACGCGGACATCAAATTTCCGTGGAAATTTTCGTGCTGAATGGCATCCCAGTATCGGTAAAGTACCTTTGTTTTCGAAATTTACAAATAACAGGTGTACAAACACAATCATCCCGATGACGCGTCGATTTTGCGCAGTTGTTTTCATCCCCATCGATAAAATTTTCACTCGAGATCAATCAACGATTCTCGGATTAATCGTCGATGGAATTCGTTGAAAAATTAGAATTCCAAGGGGAAAGCTGCTAATACAGCTTTATTCGCTCTGTCAGCGGAATCTATAATCTGTAATTCGAATGTGGCATTGAAATAATTATTCTGTCTACATGATCCGTGTGTACATTAAGCTATACGAGACGAATAATATATGATTCTTGCCAATAATTTCTCGCAAACAAATGAATATCAATCATTACAGAATTCTTCGAACAGAAACATAGTAGGTACAGTAAATCCTCGATTATTATAACGCTGACTATTAATGAAGTTCAGCACAATGATAGATCTTGGAATTCTCAAGTCAATGATATTTGTTTCACCCAGATATAACCATTAGTTTATAAAATATTTAATATTCAGTGTCGAAGATCCTTCGAACACTCATCGAGGATTCCCTGTACTCGCAAGATTCAGATCACACGAATAGGTTTAACGGTCTACAATCTTGCACATTCACAATTTTTCTCGTCTAGAATTGTTTTAGACACCGTGAAAATAACGGAGCAGACAGATAAGCAAAGATTCGACTTCAGTACCAAGCGACACAATTATTGCAAACTGAGGCTCGACGGCAGGATGCTTGGGGGAGAAACAGAAAGGCCGTGAAGAGGGGGCGAGAGATCGCGGGCGAGTGATTCAGTTAGGGACGCGATCCTATTTCCCGTAACAGGGTAACGGCTTTGCTTTTCTAGCTGGAACAATCGGTCCCATTCCAGGCTGTGGCGGCTGCTGCTTCTTGGCGAGGAGCTGATACGGCCGGGAGAGAGGCCACATAAATGTCCGAAGGGTGGGGGTGCGGCGTGATTCACATGAAAGATCGCGCGTGACTCGATACATCTGCGCCGCCTGCACATCCATAAATGTTAGTGTTGCTGTTAGCCGTGTTACGTATCGTCGGAGAAACGAGCAATCGTGCTTCCCCTCTCACTTCAATCGATTGTTTCTTTTGTTAACGAGGTGTGGCGTCCGGTTCTATGTTATCAGGCTTCTCTACGAGCAAATGTATCGCTTGGGACCGTTCTCGTGTTTATAGGGAGAGATGGACAAGATATCGTGATTTGACCATTTGCATGGGATAGTATTTTTTAACTTCTAGTTTCGATGTTTATACGGTTTCTCTTTTTGGACTCGTATTTCGAAATTATGCAGTCACTTGGAATTCCGTTCCTACTTTGTAAGGAATATCAAAGAATAAACGAAGGAGCACGTCGGTAGGGACCGTTCTCGTGTTTATAGAGAGAGATAGACAAGATATCGTGATTTGACCATTTGCATGGGATAGCATTTTTTAACTTCAAATTTCGATGTTTATACGGTTTCACATTTTGGACTTGTATTTCGAAATTATGCATTCACTTGGGATTCCGTTCCTACTTTGCAAGGAATATCAAAGAATAAACGAATGAGCACGTCGGTAGGGACCGTTCTCGTGTTTATAGGGAGAGATGGACAAGATATCGTGATTTCACCATTTGCATGGGATAGCATTTTTTAACTTCAAGTTTCGATATTTATACGGTTTCTCTTTTTGGACTCGTATTTCAAAATTATGGAGTCACTTCGAGTTCCGTTCCTACTTTGTAAGGAATATCAAAGAATAAACGAATAAGCGCGTCGGTAGGGACCGTTCTCGTGTTTATAGAGAGAGATTGACAAGATCTTGTGATTTCACCATTTGCATGGGATAGCATTTTTTAACTTCAAATTTCGATGTTTATACGGTTTCACATTTTGGACTCGTATTTCGAAATTATGCATTCACTTGGGATTCCGTTCCTACTTTGTAAGGAATATCAAAGAATAAACGAATAAGCGCGTCGGTAGGGACCGTTCACGCGTTTATAAAGATGAATAAGATTTCGCCATGTTGCGATTCTCAACATTTGCACAACGAGAATGAATGTAATAGAAATAATGGAGTATCATTTTAGCTTCACGTTTCAAAATTATGCGATAACTTCGAATTCTGTTCTTCGTTGGATGTTTAAAAAAATATGCAATTATTCTCTTCTTCTTCCACAACCAATTATTTCTTTTATTAACGAGGTATTGTGTCTTGGTTTCGCTTGTATTAAGATTCCCTGTGAACAAATGCCTCTGGGAGTTAAATACTTCGTGTTCTCCCGCCTCCAAACATTTCCACAGTTGGAACAAATGTAGTAAAAACAACGGGACACCATTTTTCTATTCAATCCTGTTTCTCCTTCATGGGAAATATTAACCATCGTCTAAGCAAATATTGTTCTGGACGAAATTCTCATGGAATTTTCAACCCCAGCGACTAATTGAGACGATTTCGGGCAGCGGTTTGGATATCGTCGGAAATTGCTGGCCGATGCCACGGAATCGCGGGGCGATGGGAGCCGCGCCTGGTACTTTCTAGCGGTTGATATCGGTGGAGGATAAAATTGAAAAAAGGAGTCTGCGGTCCGACGGGTGGCCGAGCGGCCACGGTGATCGACCGGCAAAAAGGCGGACAGAAAAAAAAGAGTGGACGAGCTGGAAAAAGTGCGAAAATGCAAGGCTTCATCGAGCCGAAGCGACCGAAGGGGATGGCTCGATAAAATTTCGTATATAAAATGAGCGTGGCCTGTGTGCGCGCGTGACGGCGAGTGCGTAATTACTTGGCGGTTGTGGTACCGTCCGTGCGTTTATACAGGGTGAATAAAATAAAAAATTTCCTTGTTTCTGTCCCAAGAAATAAGAAGAAAATAGTGTAAGGCACATCAATCGCGTGATATTTGAATATTTTCAATATTCGAAATATAAATCTTTCAATATTATTAATATAGAACTCTAGTAAAGATTTAAGGTTACTTAGTTTCTTCTTCAGATTTAACTTTACAATTTAGAGGCAATCTAATAGCATTTCTATTGAAAATTACTGTTTAAAGGAACAGTCCCTGGCCATATTAATCTGACCACTTGCTTACATTACACAAAATCTAACCACCACCATATTTCTGAAGCATAATTGTTATTATTTCATACCAAAATATTTTTCTTTATTATTACGGCTACATATTTTATGAAAGTACAGTCAATAGTTTTTTGTGCAATGGCAACAGTAAGAAAAGAATTGTTTTTCTATGAAATTTTCAACTGGTCGAATTAATTCGGCTAGAGACTGTAGACACTCGTTTCAGATAGCGTCTCCGAAAAATTTTCGTCAGAAGGAATCGGGACACCCTGTAGCAAGGGCAGTTTTATATATTCCTTCGATAGCGGCTCGATGCCACCAGGCGTGGGTTAGAGTGGTACGTTAATAAAACCAGAGCGTTAATTGCTGAATTCCCCATTGATTAATGGCGCCGAGGGCATCGCCGTGGGTAAGAGGCAAGTGGAGCCGACGCAGTTCATGAACGAAGGGAATAGCTCTGCGTCTACGTAACAGGCGTTCGAATTGTGCAAAATATTCCCGCGATCGTACACCGTCGCTCGTTTACATTCTTCTTCTTCCTTTCTTTTTTTTTTTCTTCAATACTTTTCACTTTATTCTCCTGTTTCGCTCACCCTGTCAAAGAGAAAAATTGAAAAGTAATTACCGCGGAAATACGCACCTGGGACGTCGACATGAAAATTATTTAAACGACAACAGAACGTTATTTATAATCGATACAGGGTTCGTTTCAACTAACTTCGTCTTCACGGGTAATATCAAACTGTTAACAAAGAAGATGGATTTCAATTTAATTCCCGGTTGAATTTACATAAACGTTAAAAAAGCAAACGCAATTCCCTCGTCAAAGGGAATCCCACGGACGTGCCAGGCCTGCATTTTTTTACGGTTTTCTGGGAAAACGAACGTTGCCCCCAACCCTCACAGACATAAAAGTTTTGCTGACCAAAATGCTAAGAACCGTTTGACGTCATCCCAGAAGCCCCCAGTATTTCGCGATCGTGATGGAAAAACAAAATCGGGACGGTTTCTTTTCAAGAAGCTGAATTCTCTCGGTGGGGAACACGTCTCGGGAGGAAATATGTACACGCGGGAATCCATTTTCGATTAGAATACAAGGCCCCCCCCGCCCCTCAGTGGAAACTCCCGGGACACGGCGAAGAATACGAGATCCTCGAGGTATCTAAATGCGCATAAATTTTTGTTAACCCCGTCGTCCTCGCAATTGTATTTCAAAACACTTAGGGTGGTATCTCGCCGCGTATTGGATCCCGTTACGTGAAATTTCTGGGATATTCGACCGATCGAAGGGATCTATCGATTTCACGATAGCGAATCGTTGCGGGAGAATGCACGGAACGCTGCGAAAGCAAACAATTTCTGCATACCGTATGATATTCATTTCAGTTACTGTTAACCCACTGACGATTTAAAACGTAGCCAGTACGTCACATATGGATTATTTGCCATTCTTAGCACTACTATTTCGAAATATTAAATTTTTTCTTAGTTGTTTAGATTGCTTAGGAAAAACAATAATTCGATGGTGGTTGATTAGAATTTTTTGTTATTTACCTTTAGAAATAATTTGTTTGTCACTGTTTCATTGAAATACGACGATACCTACACGTGAAACGTAACATTGCAATTAATCCGTACTGATTTAATTGAAAAATATGAATTGTATTAGTTACATTAATCCCTACTGATTTAATTAAAACAATATTGAAATCCTAACCCCTTGCTTCAAGATTTTCTTGAAGCCTCCAGTCTTCAGAATTACTTTAATATTACTAGTTTCTTCGAAACACGAGGAATTTCTTATTTATCGCAAGTGTACCATAAGATGAGGTAATTTTATCCCAAAGTCAACAAATGATCATTCTTAATTTTACAGCTTTTGTGCAGATATTTCAACGTGAAAACGTTTCCACAGAAACTCAATTTAACAATTTACATAGCTGCAATATCGAAAATGATCATTTTCCGACTTTCGAACAAAGTTCCCCCGACGAAGTCAAAGATACCTCAACTTACGGTACGATTATTCGAAAAGTATAGTTTCATTCTAAAGTTAAAACCAGCGAAACAGTGCTTCACTTCCACTCATAGAAAACGAATAGCATTCGTGTTCATTGCATCCCATTATTGAAATCATCTTGAGTCTGATTCGGTTCCATAGGTCAAGTGATCCACAGTGCTTTGAACGTCACGTCAATGTTGCATAATATACATCAATAGACAGAAAAGTATCCGAACGATCCACGTCGATGGCAATCAATTACTCCACGATTGCTCCGTTCCCAGTCCCCCTGAGCCGACGAAATCAATTTGATAGCTCAATCCTCGAGACACTCGAGAACGACGACGCTCGGGGGGTGGTTGAGAGCAAGGATGTTGCAACGGGGGGGAGGTTGCTCGTTTACGAGCCTGCTGACTCATCCCCCACGAATTCATGGCCGATGTCGGCCGATCGCGCGACATCTGTCAATGTACGAGTCGGTGCGTATGATAAAGCTGCGTCGCCACTCGAGTAGGCCGCTCGAATGGCGATTTGGTGCCTACTCGATTGCCAATACCATTACTCCGCAGTAAAAGGAGCATAAACGTGACCGTTAAAGTACTCCATCCTCGGTTCCACGGCCGTACGACACTAGCCATATTCTCTGTTCCACTCCACGAGGAAATCGAACCACCACACCCCCGTTTATGTCGTCGTAGAGACTACCCCATCCAACGGAACGAAACGAACCGAGCACACTAACAATCTCCCAATTTCTCGAGCGTTAATGTCCCGTCAACGAAGCGATCATTTCGTACCCGTATTGTAAAATAGATTATGGAGTCTGCGAAGTAGAGATTGTTATTCGTATATTTTTGTGGTCGGTTTTAACAGAAAATCTTACATTGTACTCCTCCCTGCTAGCTACTTACATTACTTATACAGTAAATCCTCGATGAGTGTTCGAAGGCTCCTCAGCTTTCATGAAGTTAGTTTTAGAATTTTTTAATTAAGTTTAATACAGTGATAGAGCTTGGAATTCTGAAGCCAAT